TGTCGGCGGCTTCAAACGTAATACGTGGCGAATCAGGATGCGCCGTGTCCGAATATCTACAAAATGTACATGACAAATGACAGACGATGGCGACGAACCGCATGACCTGCGCATGATGATCAACCGAGCAGGCGCACAAAAAGGCGAATGAAACATCCCAGCTTGCGACTTTCACCTTGTTCGCTTCCATCTTTATTTCCGGCTCCCCTCTGGGAAAACGTCTCATCGTCATGTTCTGTGATACGATAGTTAGATGGAGGGGTTGAAGTGTGGAGTTGGTTAAATGATAGGCGAGATAAAAACGAGGAGACGGGAGATGCTAGACGAGAAATATGCCCCGGCACATCTCTTTTCTGTCCCCCCCAAGCGCTATTATCGAGAAAGAAAAAAACGAAAAAAAAAAAAAAAAACATTCATTCGTGATACGTGTGGCTCGTACTTCGGATTAGTGCTGCGGAGACAGATGAGCGCATTGAGGTGGGCGCTTAAACAAAGCAGATGCCCGATTAATGAAGTGCCCGCTTTTGTAATCCATGACCAGATCTTACAAGGAAGAATTGTCGCTATGAAGTACAAGTAGCTAGCCGCTGAGTTAAGAACTTGCTTCGCTCTTATGGTTATGTTGTTGCGAAGAAAAGAACTGGTACGAAGAATATTATAATCGGGCATTACTGGACGAGGTGTTTTTTTTTTAAAGCTAATAGGACTGAAAGTGAAAAGTTCTACCTGATATAGGCAATCTGATAGCTATGCTGTTGGCCTCATAGGCGAAGCACTCCTGTAAGAACCCTTGCTCCTACTTATCTTAAAAGTAGAAGAGAGTATATCATGAGGCCTACATGTATCTTCTAAAGACTAAATGACTACATCGTAGATGCTGTACGGTTGACTTTTCTAATATTATCTCGCTGGCGCATTCTCTTTTCTCTTCTATTCGACTTACCCCGAAATGTGAAAGCCTGGAAACATGCTTAGAGTTTCCGGGTATTCATATGTGCAAACTGCCAGGGGTTGCTTGTCAATGAATAGTTAGTTATCCACGGAAGCTCCGGAACCACATGTCCTTTTTCTTCTTCAGCGCTATTGCCAGCGAGCCAATTATGGCTATGATTATATAGTAGAGACTCGCGTAAACCACATGCAGGCTTGTCTGCTTTGATAGCAACAGAATTTTGATGTCAAAGGTATCATATGATCTATCATTGCCTACAATGGATCAGAGAACAACTGGATTATCTCTGCTAGCCAGAAATCACCCCTCTTTTGAGACAACCGATGCTGGAGCCATAAGACTACTAATGTGTCTGGGAGTTGAGCTTTTGCCTGTGGAGTGATGAAAGCGTTGACCCTAAGATTACAAATATAGCTGATAGAACAGCATCTTTGCTCTCATTTATACCATACAATTTGCACGAATTAGACGAGAAGCGATACTTCATAACAGTATAGGCATTTGCTGCATATGCGATGGCATGTCTTACAGTCTAATGCTACCGCCGACTGCATGCGCAGTTTCTGGTTGATACTATACAGAGAAAAGAAACAAACGCCGACTAGAATAAGCAGAAAATCGTAAGAAAAGTTAGTTCGTTTCGCTTTGGTACAGATGTAATATAAGTGGTTATTCGCTGGATTCATTACGCATGTCGTTAACCCTCCCTTGGCTCTGTCACTCATCTAGAATTCAAATGATCAAATCATCTTGGTCTTTCATGACGATATGACCATCTTATCCAGAATCTTGTGGATGCCAGCGGCCTTTCCAGACCCGGCGTCTAGTCCCTCGACTAGCTTGCGCGCCCTCTCGATGAGAGTCTCAACCACTTTACGGGTATAGTCGAAACTGCCCTTGGACTCCATATAGGAGACAGCATAGCGTTTAACCTGCTCATCCGTAGTCTTTTGTTTCAGTATGCTGATCAACTGAAGATCAACGGGATCGGCGCGGATGCTGTGAATGACGGGGAAGGAGAATTTGCCTTCCGTCAGGTCTTCACACATGCCCTTGTTGTGGCTATATTCGCTTGAAGAAAGATTCATGTAATCATCGCGGATCTGGAAGATGAGGCCAACGAGGTTGATGAGAGGCACCAGGTCGACGTTGGTGCTTGATTCCGCCTGCATCAGCTTGACGCCGAGGCGGAACAGGCCACCAGTCTTGTTCCCCACCATCTCGAGGTAGTCGTCTTCCGTGGGGCAGGTGAGAGTGTCTCTCCAGAATAAATCCATGCCTTGGCCGCGGTGTAGATTGAGGAGCTCCTCGGCAAACAGCGGGATGACATTCTGGTTGCCGAGCTTGACGAGCTCTTGCAAGGCAGCAAAGTATACGTAGTTGGCTGAGTTTATGGTTTGGGCCACGCCGAAGATGTTGTGGGCAACAGGGAAGCCGCGGCGGAGCTCGGACGAATCTTGTACGTCGTCGACGAGGAGGGAGGACTCGTGAAGCATGCCCACAACCTTGGTGATGATGGCGAGGCTCGCGGCGGGCACATCGAGGAAGGCGTTGAAGGAGGAGATGAGCTGGGCACGGAAATCCTTGCCCGGGTGGCTGACGACATAGTCAAACGGACCCCTTACGATCCTCTCCTTGTCGTCGTTCCATGTTCCTCGGCGACTGAAGTCGAAGTCTTCGTTGGCGAACCGCGAGGGGTCGGGGGGCGGCCCCGGATTGTTCTGGTGCTGCATGCTGAGCACGCCGCGATTTATCCTCTTGCTGCTCCTTTGCGGCGGCGACTCAGAGTGCAAAGACCTCTTTCCAGTATGTCCTGAGAGCTTCTCTGATCCGGAATGCTTGCCTAGACGCTCAGCCTCGCTTTCGATTAGGGGTCCGAGGCCGCCGGGAGCGAAGGGTTTGAGAGGCGACAGGGACGAGCCAAGAGTGTTGGGAAATGCAAAGTCCTGGTGTAGGGCTGGAGAGGGCAGACCGCTGCTAGAGGTTGTCGAAGGGAGGGCGTTGGAAGAGAAGTTGATGTCGGAAGGCATCTTTGCTGTCGACGTGTGGCTGAAGCTTTGCTTCTGAGTACACGTGAAAGTGGCGCTGCAGCTCAAGGTGTGGATATCGCGGGGCGGTTTGAGACACCACTCAGAAAAACGCAGCGCAACATGTCGTATAATATACTTTCGTGCAAAGCACTCTCGGTGATTAGAAAGTCCTAGATGCTTGAAAAAACATATCGTATCTGCACAGCAGCGGGGTTTCAACTGGCTGAGGGGCACGCATGGGAAAAGCTGGATATTTTCTCTGCTGCCTTTCAGATCGTCAACGCCTTCTATCGGATTAGGATGCCCGATTCGACGTTTCGTGCAGAGTTTAGCCTCAACGAGCAAGGTTGCCTGCATACCTGGCCCTTAATCAATCGCCTGACTGCTTTGTTGGCCGCGCCTCGTGACTTGGCGATAGGTTTACCGAGCCTTCCAGAATGCACTAAGGCCTGTGATAGCGGTGATGGCGTGTTGAGAGTAGACACGTAATATTGATAAGAGTGACGATTACGTCCAACGACATAAGAACCCGGCCTCTTGAGCTGCAGTTGGGGCTCTCGCTTGCCAGGGAGTATAAGATACCGGCCTGGGGTCGAAGAACTGAAGTGCGCAGTATTACATGTACGCTGCGTTATTCATCTTCTGCGGCTCTTGCGAGCAAACTCACCTCAAGTCGCCGAATCCAGTCCTCCAAACGAAATGTGGGGATGGATGAACCATAGCCATTTCGAGCATTTCGAGGCCTTCTCTGACCCAATTCGTCCGGGCTGAATGCTCTTTTTACGAGTAGGATCGCTGGTGCCTTGAAAAGAAATCTCTCGCTTGGTCATGAGTGTGAAAAACTATGGATAAGACAAGGAAGAGAATCACGACCGGGAAAGCGAGGGGTAGGGAATGGAGTTCAGCTGCTGCGAGATCGTTGGCCTTGATGCTACCTCTCAAGATCGCTGCTCTGTCGTTGGGCGAGTCTGCTTGCCTTAGAAATCCATAGCGCCCACAATTATCGGCGGCTTCTTTCAGTTAGCAGCGGCGTCCAGGATTTATAAATATACGATGCCCACGGATATCTCGATAGCGGCGCAATCCTACCTTGGACGAACAAGAGGTGCTGGAGCTTGACAGGGTGTTTGACAGGTTTATGCAGATGGCATCATCGTCATTCTGATTTTGGGCATATCATTGGTGTGTCAGGCAAGCATCCCAGTCGCCAATGCCAGTGCAATTTCCAGTCTCGTGGATTCAGACGGCGGACATCGAATCATGCCGGGTTCAGGGATCCTGTCCAATCGTTAAATGGCTTGCAGCGACCGTGCTGCAAGCACTCCAGCACTTTCAGGGTCTGAACAGGCTTTCTCGGCGGTCCCGCGCAGCGCTAGCAGCCTATGACGGGCCTCTGCCATGGGGACGTCCCAGTGGAGCCCGCGCGCTACCAAGCTGCCCGTAGCCACTAAACGTCTGCCCTCCCCGCCTGTAATTTAGCATGCCGCAGCTCCCTTCCATGGTTGCCGGGGAAATGGGCGACCAGCAACACCTTATTCCAAACCCGGCACTCTGGGAGCTTCTTCCCGGCAGTCAACCTTTTTTGTCACTGCCGCAGAAACGCATTTCTCATCCTCCATCCCTGATCTTCAGTTTACTTTGACTCTCTTTTCCATGTTTTGTTTTCGTCGCCAAGTCGGCTTTTGATACCCTGATACCCCTCTCATCCAGTCAATGCTTTATTTCTTTGTTCTCGTCTTGTCTTAACATTCTTTGCGCACGCACAGGCACCTAGTCTGTCAGAAGCAATTTTATCGATATTTACTATCTTTTTAAAAAGCAGATCTCAGCCCACCTCCTCACCCACTGGAGAAAAGAAAACAAACTAGAAGGGCTTCTTTTTCCTATTTGTCGTCAAAAGTTTTCTAGATTGTTGTCGTTATTGCTTCTTGCTACTGGAGAAGAGATCATATACCCCCCTTCCAAACAGGATTTACCTGGCGTTATCAATCATTGAGGCTTTCAATACTTCACCCACAATGGAAGCTCTCTTGTCACTCGCTTTTGACAACCTCTCCTCATACGACGGACCCAAGATTCGCAAGGGCTTGCGCCAAGTAGAGGGCCTCCTGGCACAGATTTGCCTATCTAACGGGTCTTCAGGCCGAGGACGGTCCACGTCCACGTCTTCGCCTACGCCTAACGATTACGAAGATGCATCCGGGACTTCGCCTCGCAAAGATCTTGCCCAGCTCACCCAGGACCCGGCCTTTCGAGAATTTTTCAAACTCCAGGAGGGATTCGAGTGGAACGTTGCCATGCGTCTGGTTGGCACGCTGGATCGGCTCATGGCAAAGGGTAGCGATGGCCAGAATGACTTGCTGATTCTCAGTGCGCTGGACCTGATCCAAGGCGTCACCCTGCTGCATCCTCCAAGCAAGTCGTTGTTTGCACGAGAGCAGAACATGAATGTAAGACGGAAACCCCAGCAACCGTTATAGCGAATACCTAAGCTTACTCTTTCGGCTAGCTCTTACTGGATCTTCTCGAACCATACAACTGCCCAGCGATTCAGTCAGCCACCCTCCTGACCCTGGTAGTCGCTCTCATCGACACTCCGAACAACACTCGCACTTTCGAAGGGCTTGATGGCCTCCTGACCGTCACATCTCTCTTTAAATCTCGATCAACCTCTCGTGAGGTTAAGCTAAAGCTCGTCGAATTCCTCTACTTCTATCTTATGCCCGAGACACCCTCCGCCCCCCGCGCTGACCAGCGAGAGTCTGTGTTCCACCGCAGTCCTTCAAAGCTTTCTGGCGCATTCCACGTCGATGCTAAAAACGGACGCAAGCGTGCCAACAGCAACGGGGTCACGACTTTGACTACTGCAGAGAAACAGCAACTTCTGAGTCGCCACCTTAGTAGCGTGGAAGACTTGGTCAAGGATCTGAGAAACTGCGCACCATTCGGTGGTATTGTATGCTGAGCTGGTACCGGCATACCAAAGTGACGAATGGATGATGGGGACTTTCGGGGCAATTTTCTTCTTCTTATTCATTGATCACCGCCGAAGATCCAATGTGAATTTTTTCTAATCTACAAATACATTTTTTTCCTGTCTCTCTTTTTCTTCCCCTGAGCTAGCCTCTCGATTAGGCGGAAATCTACAGTCACTTACATCAAGACGACTGCAAGTATGAGGGAACTAAATGTAAGGATCTATTTTGGTTTTCTACATCTTCCACCAAAGGGACTTCTATTTCGACAATATGAGCTTGGGCGGTATCGTGTATTATCAGGCTAGGCGTTAACTCAATAGAAATGGCATGCAAGCTTTTTAAGAAACAAAACTCCATTATCCTCCTTGAACTAAACTAAATGTCAAAGACTGCCTTTTCAGCCATCATGATTAACTTGACTTTGAATGTCGACCTAGCTCTTGCGGCTGGGGACTAGGTTCGGGACTGGCTGGCGAGGGTTGCGGCCAGGGCATTTCCGCTCCACCCAATTCAAATCGGCCGTCTATCGTCTCCGGCGTCCGAAGCCCTGTCAAAGCAAAGCCCGTTATTTCGGATTTGGGCGTCATAACCTCTGAGCCAGCTATTTCTGACAGCCCTTCCGAACCAATCTCGACCGGATCTGGAGCTGACGATGGGGATCTTATCGTACCTGCGTCGGTTACAGCCCCCGAGGGAGTGATCGATGGCGCTATTGTCCAGCGCTGTCGCCAGGTTCGAGGCGTCGCTGGCGCGGTACTCATGGTAGGACCACTTGGAGCCGCCGCGGCATCTCTGTGGACGTCTCCGGGTTGTAATTCAGCGACGCCATATACGTGATTCGACGGCGCCGTCGATCTCCGTCTTTTGAGGAAGAACCACACGGCTGCCGCGATAATAAGTCCCCCTCCAATCACGCTTCCGACGGCAATACCTGCTTCAGCTCCGGCAGAGAGCCCTCCAGAAGATGAACCGCCGTCACTGCCCGCGACAAGGGTGCTCGTAGGACCACCGGTAGCGGTAGAGCAGTACGCCGACCCGCTGAATGAAGTGCACGTTGCTCCATTGTTGCAGCATCCGTTGCCATCGGAGCATCTAAACTGGCTTGTCGTACAGCTGCCAGTTACAGCAGGAACCACGCCTGGCGGAGGCTTTGTCTTCACGAAGACGCAATTCTTGTCTTCCTGACAGTTAGTGTCGAATGGGCAGCAATTGCCGCCAAGTGATTTGGCGCAAAGATACTGGCTCGTCCCAGGACAAGAGCGCCCACAGCATCCTGTAATGACGGATGTGGATTTGCTCGTTACGGTAGTTTCTTTCCCCTGACTCTTTGAGAGCGACGAAGTGCTGGTCAAGGTGAGGGTGGTCGTGACGGTGCAGCGTACAGCAGAGGCAGCGCAAGGGTTTGCGGGAGCGCAAGTCAGGCCGATGCCGCAGCATTTTGGCTTGAAAGATGTGTCCAAAAAGCAGTAGCTATCGTTATTGCAGCAGATGTCTCCGTGGCCGATATCGAGGCCTAGTGAATCAAGTTGGTATTAGCGGTGAGCAACGCACTCAAGAGAGTGTGTAAATGATGGGGATATCTGTCGCGTTGCATGAGAAGCAGAAGAAGAGGGGTTGTCGCCTTACAGGGATGACTATTGTCACCACAACTTCCGTCGCGCTTTGAGAGCGGTTGTGATCTATCGAAAGAATACCGCGGCGTCAATCCTTCTGGTATAATGGGCACAGCCGCGTATCGATCATGGGCGGCGCTGGTAGTGGCGAGGCCAGAGAGCGAGAGCACAAAGAGGAGCCTCATCTTCAATAGTGGCCGGGCTGCGATAGTTGCATCCTTTTCCTTCCTGCCCAGCTAATGCCGCTCGGGTCTCTTCAGCAAGATCTCTGTCGCCTATCTGCGTGGAACAGAAACGAGATGAAGGAAGAGAAATCAGCGAGGTGAAAGATGAAATCTCATCGCACCAACTGAACCACAGCCTTGTGGCCTTCGTGCAGGGATTAACTGGCATCAGCGAACTAAAGGACCCCAATTGCCCACATTCGCAGCTTATCCCTGCACCATGCGACCCCATTCGGGCTGTACATCCTCATCCAGAAAGGCACAATGGAAAATAAGTGACATCCCATCGGCTGCCGTCCAACAGTTCAAATAAAGAGGCACACTGGCGCCGCATGGTCACCGAGCACACGCCGTAACCATACGCAGATGATTCAGGATTACATGCGCTCCAAGGCATCATCATCATCAGCCGTTCCCAATGACCGAGCCGACATGTTTGCTTAGCTTTCGGCAAATGCGAGATGACATTTCGTTTGCTGAATGCGCGGCACTCGGCCTTTTCCTCGAGATGTGAGCCGTGTCTTGGCTGTTCGACAAACCGACAAAGGCTGGTTGGCGGGTGGATGCATAGGCGCTGTTGTGGATGCGATTTCATTTGTTGTGCATGAACAGGCGTCTGTCCCCTCTTTGCTCCGAGGCAGCCCTGGCTGTGCTCACGAGACGAATCCTTTAGCAAATGGGAGAATTGCTGCGGATTACATTTTTCAAGCCTAAGGACATTGATGTCGATGGTTCTAGGTGCGTTTGGGAATAAGTGCAATGTAGTTTGGCCTAAGTGCTTACACGTGCAAGTCACGAGCGTCCACGCAAAAACTGATGTCTCGGGCAATTGCGAATCCAAATATTGTTTGCTACTAACAGACACCCTTACTAATAAAGGACTACCGAAAACCGTCTTATCATACATCATCCCAAGGGCCTCATACACGAGAAAGCGCAATAAATTCAACCTGGTATAATCCGATTTTACTGACTGGAGTTTTCCTCTCCTCCCATTTTCTTCCTCCAAATACGATGATTTGGTTCATCAATTCTCCTTCGCCACGCCGCGATCAGCGCAGAACTTGTCAACCTCCTTCCGCAGGATGTCTCTCTGCCGCAGCGCTGCCTCCATGATATCCTCAGCAACAGTGCCCAAGCCCTTCTGGTGCTTGCCCTTGGCCAAATCATGCACATTCACCATCTCCGCCAGCACCGCTTCCAGCTGGTTAGGAAGCCAAGTGACGATGGGGCTGCCGCCGGTGGCGGTTGGATGAGAAGTCTGCTTCAGGATGTACTCTCTGGCGAAGCACCAGTGGCGCCAGCGGAAGTCTCGCACCTCATTGAGGACCTGGATCCACAGGCTACAAGTCTGGCGGAGGAGATCCTTCTCTTCGTCCGAGGTGGGCTCGACCTTGTTGCCCAGAGCATAGTCCTTGAGATCCAGCTCTAGGGAGCGGCTCTTGACGTATTGCAGGAAGGTCTTGTGGTTGCTGGGACGGTACTCACGGAAATCGGTGAGGATAGCCGTCAGAGGGGTATTGGGTAGGGGAAGCTGAAGGAAGTTGTCCATGAGGGGCACCATGGAGTCATTGGCGCCAGATTCGCCCCGGAACGACATGGGCTTGTTGTCATAGAGACCTTCATAGACAACGCCATTGGGGAACATGGATTGGCCGGTGATACCGAAGATGAAGGTGCGGAAGCTGGTGTAGTCTCTGGGACGAGACTTTCCCCACATAGTCTCCATGACCGAGTTGATCTTCTTCATCGCCGTGACGATATCAGAAAGGCCTTCATTGAAGGATCTACGCCCCTCGACGGGGTCGGCGTGAGTAGAGGCATTAGAAGCCTCTTCTAGGCAACGCATAGTGGCCGCAACCAAGGGACCCGAGTTCTTGACCATGTCAATGTGGACAAGGACGAAGCCGGCCTCGGAAGAAGTTGGATCAAGGCCATGTTCAAAGGCACGGATGAGACGAATGTTGTCATACTCCAGGCCCTTGGTGGGATCTTCAAGACGGTAGTTGTAGAGCGCATAAGATCCAGCATACTCCATAAAAGGCATAAAGCCAGTGCTGCGAAGAAGAAGTCAGCCTCTGATACTTGGACATGGGGATTGGCACTATTGCTGGAATGAATTGATGGCAATGACTTGGAACTTACAGCTCTGCACATCGAGCGATAGGGCGAGAAATGTTCTTGGGAAGAGTGGCGCGTCCTAAGCCATAACCTTCACCTTTGAGGAATCGCTGATGACAAGGCTCAAGAAGATACGCAGAGGCAAGGAACGAGTAGTCTCGGTAGAGGGCATTCATCAAAGGGAGGTTTCCTTTATACAGGTCCATTGCATCAGTGAGATCAGGGAAATTGTTGTCAACTTCTTCACCAAGCTTGCTGTGGGCAAGAAGACCTGGCTCGCCAGACAGAGTCTTGACGGGCATACGCTGGAGTATAGACTCTAACGCATCAAACTCCTTGGGCAGAGTGACAACAGGGTCTGCACGAGGGAGGAAGCCTCTGGTGGTGGACACCAAGAAGGCAGGGAGGGAATCGTCATTAGGACGGGCATCTGTGAGGACCTCGAATGGAGGTACGGTGGTGCCCATGGAACCCATTGTGTAGATGAGGGATGTGGTGGTATCAGAGGATGATATGATATGGAATGCGTGTAAGTATGTAAGTGCTCTGAAGATGGGATGGCTAAGGGCCAGTCTTCAGGGGCCAAGATGCCAAGGAGTGATAGAAAGAGCAGGTGGCAAAGAGGAAGCTTGCCCTATGAAGTCTGAGAGTATCGGGGGACATTCATCGTCAGTCCGGGTCCGCGCCGCCGCCTAAGTACCCGGTGGCCGGAATGGATTCCGGCCATTCGGTGGGGATGAGGTCACGATGTACGGGCAGCACAGGCGGGTCGAGACAGCCCTTGTCTCCGTTAGAGGAAGGTGTCCGGAGGCTAATGCGAAGACTTCACGTAACAGAAACAAATGGAACCCCGTTATCTATTGTCCCAACGCCGTCAATCGGGCGAGAAAGGGGGTAGCATGACCCAGAAGATGATGAGAAGGTGAGTTATACCGTGTGTACTTGGCTTACACGCATACTGTCTTTCAGTACCACTTGCTAATTTCACGAAAACAGTTATCTCTTCGTGGAGCAATAACCATGGCATAAGCAAACGTGATGGAAAGCTGCTGTTATCGCTATCTTTCTTCCAGGGGCAAGCTGGAAGTCATTGTGAGACACTCACCGCGAGGGTCCTGATAAGAAAGACCCTGCAGCGTCTGGCTCTGTATGCCGTCTCTGCCCGCCTATCTTAGAGTAAGACAAAGCTCGTCCATTGTGGGGGAGGGGCCGGGTTGGGGGATGATTAGCCCCACAGGCTACCGATACTGCCCGGCCTTTTTACTGGACCATTGGCCGGAATGATTCCGGCCACGCAACGAAATCGGACCCGGCCCTTGTCTTCTTCAATGGATCAGGTACAAAGAGCCTGGGCAGATACAGCACGAAACCCTAGGTACCTTGAGAAGCGGGCTCCCCTCCGTACAGCTCCCGTGCGCCCTCCGCGGCGCTCTACTAGCTGATTTACACCGGGGCCGGACCAGTCGAGGCCTGGGTTGGAGAAACGTTGATTAATGAAAAAGCTGTGATTCGTTCGTTGAACGTCGTTGCTGGATGGCAACAAGTGGGAGGAACCAGGGCGTTCCAAGATGGTCAGGTTTCTCACTAGGATCTGCGGAGTAAGCATGAGTTTGCTAAAACAAAGAAGAACCAAGAGAAAATGACTGTATTCGCGTAGTTAATTATGATGAACAGATAGAACCGCCATTAACGCCGCCTTTATCAAACGACCATCCCAAATTATCCTCTAAGCCATCCTCCAAGTCATCCATCGACCATCTTCACGCAGATCAAGCGGCCCTCCGAACAGTCAAAAACCCGCTCATCTTGGGAAGAGATGGGTGATGGAAAGTCATCGAAGAATTGAAACGGAGAGAGGTTGTCTTTGGCTGCCTCAACTCTGTTTCAACATTTGCTGCTGCCATTGCTGCTGATGCTGATGCTGATGCTGATGATAACGAGCTGAGAGGTCGAACAGGAGGACCATTTGCCAACGTGGTTTTTGGAGGAATCGCGGCAGCCGTCCCACTGGAAAAGGGAATCAAAGCCTTGAATTTATTTTCCTAATCAAGGTTCGCATCAATAATCTTCGAAAACATCGCCTTTTGACACTCACTTTTGCAGGAATGGTTGAGATTGTGGTTAATGTGATTATTGTCGTCGGTACATAGGTGACCATGCGTGTGATATGAGTCGTTGAAGTGACTGTTACCGTGGACTGCTGATCAAAATGGACAGAAGCTTCTTTGAACAATCCCCCAACGACAGCTACCCAATAAGCTGATTAATTATTGACCTGTGGTGTTGGCACTGGGCCAAGGGGAAGGCTTGCCTCCTGGAGTAGTCTTTGTCTCTTGTCGCATTGTCGCAGCTAGCCTCGTAGGCTTCATTGCTGCCAGGGTGGCCTTGGAAAACTCTATATCATCGGGGTCCAGTGCAGAGTGCTGGACGGGAGTGGAAGAGGAATCTAGAAAAGAGTCAGCTCTGGATGTCATCATACTGGTGATTTCTTGTTCGAGGGATTTGATTCTGTCCAAGATGCCCTGTAAGTGAGTCTGGGTAACTTGAATTGTGGTCTCATGGCTCTCGCCTGACGCCCGAGCGGCAATCAGGTTGAAAGGAGGCGCCTGATGAAGCTGCGATGAGCCATCGGAAATTTGGGGGATAGTTGCATGGTTTAAGTGAGGTGGGTGGCTATGAGATACTCTCCCGTGATGGAGGTGTGCAAAACCCAAAGCCAGCCCGAGAAGGGGGAGGTGCTCGAGAAGGACCATGATGATAATGGCGATTTACGACTGTGAGAATGTTACAATATCGCACAAATGAATGTGTAGTAATGGATGTGTAGTGATGAACGATTTTGATCAACGTTGATGTGAGAGAAGGTATGAAGAGTATAGATCGTGATATATATAGGGCGGTGGAGGTGGGTCGTTGTGAGGAGCAACACATTCCAGCGGCTGCGACGGCGACAGCGTCCATTGTTGCGTGGCAATTGGAATTCAGTCGCCTATAACGGGGTATAGTATGAAACAATCATCTCTAACAAAGACAACTTCTCAGCGAATAATGAGCTTTTCTGGATATGATAGACTAATAATACAGCGGCCCGTTTTTGGGTCATGTATCAGACACGAAACTGATGCTGCTTTTGCATTATGAGTGATACTCTATATCAAATGTAGGAAGCTTGACCGTACGGTTCTCCATGAGTGACTTAATCTAATTGGCTGGGAATGTCTCAGAATTATACGATGATACTCGACATGGTTTCCTTGAGTGGATCATACACTGGTTATTGGGTGTGAGTTGACAATTAATCTTGTTTTTTATTATGGCTTCATATATCTCTTTAGTGAACTACTTTCGATGTGCAAAGCAGCACAGAGAGTACCGAATTAAAGTTCTCGCTGCAAGATCGATTAAACTGACGTGGTATTCAGGGAACCATGATAGTATGACGTTTGTCGCGAAGGCTTGATCCCCCAGCTGCAGTCCCGTAAGGTATTCTATCTATGGCAAAACAAAGAGCCACAAGCGTAAGATTCCCTTGAAGCAAGAATAAACTATATCAGCTGAGGAATTCTGTGATGATATTATTTTTTCTTTTCAGCATCCCAATGCATAAATTAAAGGGATCTGTAAGGGAAGTGCAGAAGATCCTTGAAACGCAAACGTGGACATTTTGTAACTACTAGTAACGTTTCGTTTTCTACTGAGTATAGCCTTAACTTTTACGTTTACTTCATATGGCTAGAACATGTCAAAATCGTCTAATTGCATCCATTACGGATCTCACTTTGATCTGAGACCGTGGTGACTACTTCAATTTAACTCGTCTTTCAGAGACAAGTATCGATCGGTAACACGGACTAGGTTGCACCATCTTGTTTCAGGTTCAATGACGTTTAGTAGGTCATTTGATCAATCGAATGAATTATAAAAATGCTGCGCCTCGCCCACTGATCAGGCATCATGTCTATTTGCCGTTCAAGGGAAAACTTATCAAGCACCCTTCAGTAATTGCTATATTTAGTCAAAATAGTAACGGTCACAGCTGTGGTAGCAGATTTATTAGATACAGTGGGAGCAGCAGTAGTAGCGGTAGTAGCCTATGCAATAACTAGGGTAGCGGATAATAGAAATGAGGTGCTGGATAACTGATGTTTCCCTAGTTGAATTTACATGTATGTGTCAGCCACTCGTTCATATGGATGTTATTGATGGATAACTTTGTGCGCCAAATTGGTGAAAGAGGCCCTCTTCATAGAAGAAGCACAGATGAAAGAAGCTCTACCCCTTGAATGGACTTAAGAATAGAAAATTATTCAGCACGTTAGATGACATCCAAGTGCCCTGTCATTTGCGTTCGGATGATGGGGTCAGATGAGATGCTTTCGGTAAGCTCGGGCTCTGCAGCAGTAGAAGCCAGTAGAACTGATGAAGTCATCAAAGGCCGCCTGCAATGGAAGGCTGGCACAGCTCTGTCCCCACCAATTTTGGTAGTAGCCCTGAAGACGATCTACGCAAGTTAACACTTTCTGTACGGAGTTAGACTAGAGAAAAACACTGTATGGAGGCAGATGGGCCTCGATAGCCAGGAATGGCGCAGGCAAGTCGCTTAGGGCATCATACGCGCTGCGACCGTTGTTCGCAATCGAGTCGTTCCAGCCTGTTGGATAAAATTCATTACGATCAATGCCATGAAGCCAGATTAGGCACTCTACATGCTATTTTACGCCTTGGAGAGTTGGATGTTTTGAAGCTTGGTGGAAGTTAACGCATCAAGCAGTTGCACCGAAACCGGAAGCCAAGTTCGCCTTCGGTTAATTGGAATTGGCTCTTGGCCTTGGGTGAGAAAGAAGTGCAAAAGGATGCCAAACGCTCACGGCTCCTCAAATCTCAAAGCCCTTGGCCTGTGACGCGAAGAGCTGTAGCCGATACTTGAATGTGCTGCGTGTAATCACCGATGCCCCAAGTTGCGAGTACAAAGGAATGTCCTCAGCCATCGCTTACCTAACGCCAGCCCGCGAATCAGACGGGCGCGAATCGAACCTTCCCAAGTCCGTCGCAGGGCTAGCCAGACTAGCTCATGATTGGCCGGCCGGATCCTCTAATAATGCGAAAATAAAAGCCACTTGGGCGAGCTTGTCTCGAAAAAGGGCCCCTTTCGGATTGGACCACGGCGCGCGCTAGTCCGCATCGGGGCGGGTCCTAAGCGCGGCCTGAATCTTCCACCCCTCGCCCTTTGTGTTGGAGCGTCACGGTCCTGCTGGCCCATCTGCGCCAGCTACGAACAAGAAACCTCTGCCCGATTTTTTGCGTTGTGCGCCGCCGCCCTTCTGGCCCGAAAAAAAAATGAGGATGAGACCAAGGCCCCGAACCTTACGAGACAACACCCCAGAAAATGAAAATCCCTCCGCCTCCCGCCTCTTTTTCTCCCCTCGCCTCTCTCCTCTTCGCCCGCGATGCACCAGCGCTCATGACATGACACTATCACCGCCGGCCTGCTAATATAGTCCAGAGTTGCAGAGTTGCCTCTCTGCTTGCTGCTCCACGCAAGGCCCCCAGACCCCCTGACCACCACGCCGGATCACCACCAGCATTAGGTATTAGCCCATCGCCCGTGGTTCAGAGCACCACCAAAAAACCTGCGCGGCCTTTCCGTCATCCTCGCTTTTTGCTCTTCTCCATCATCACCAGCGCTCCGCCATCACCACCGTGCACCGTCAGCGTCGCTCTGCCACGCCATTGCCAACGCAAAATCTTTGCATCGCCGTCGGCTACATCATACCGTCGCTGGGCCGCTTGAGCGCTAGCACCGTTGACGAGGCCAGCTCTTCACCCATTTACTCGCTCGCCTGCTATTCTTGGGACAAGAAAGAAGAGAAGAAAAAAAAATAAAAAAATCTTCGACCAAGACGCGATGGCTCCTCCCAAGGCAGCTGACGGCCGCCGCAAGTCGGCAACCAAACATGGTCTGCTCGTCACCCTCAGCGTATCGCCGGAACTTTTACGCGACCTTTTTCCTTCCGTGTCTGTCAAGGAAGCATCTCAGTCCCCAGAATTAAAGCTCTCCAAGGAGGACTCACAGATCAAAGAGTCGCCGGCCAGCCCGAACGCGCTGGCTGTGTCTACCAACTCGAATGGAGATAATGCATCCGACTCCAATGCTGCCACTCCGGCCGCCGAGACCACACCAGCTCCGACCCCAATGGGACCTCCCGTAGAGGGAGCGAAGAAGAAGGGAGTCAAGCGATCTGCGGCTGCTGCAAATAGCACCATTGATGGAATCCCCAAGCCAAGAGGCAAGCCGGGGCCCAAGAAGAAGCCTCGATTGTAAGTTTCAATATGCCCTCTTCTCTAATTTTTTTTTTTTCAGGCGACCTGGAATCTTTGACCTGCATGCTAACCAGATTGCCCCATATAGGGAGGACGGTACTATCGACCACAGCAGTGCAGCAGCTCGCCCTACTGCCCACAAACTCGGCCCCAAGGCCAACCAGGGCGCCATCAACGCAGGCCTTCGCGCCCTCGACCGTTCTGGCAAGCCTTGTCGAAAATGGGCCAAGGGTGGCTTCAAACTCAAGAGCTTTACCGGAGTTGCCTGGGAGATACCACGATGGACTGCTCCTCCGCGAACCGTTCCTGAGTCTGGCACCGAAGACTCAGCTGCCCCTTCAGCCGAAGGCAGCAACAAAGAGAACAAGGAAAATGGAAACGAAGCCAACAGCATGTCCGGCAAAGACAATAGCATTTCTAACAGCAACAGCGGCCCCGATGTCGAGATGCAAAGCGCGCCTAGCATCCAGACCTCATCACCGGCACCCATTGCTGTGGCCACTGCATCATAACATCTCGCATCAAGCTTTCTCTTTCATTTTTATCTCTTTCTTGTTCTTGCATTTCACGATGCAAAGGGGTTTTCTCATCTTATTCCTTATTATGTTTCAAACCTAGAAAAAAATTGGGCTTGAGGTTATCTGCATTTTGCTTCATTGGCTCCGAGGACGGAAACTCGGGCAACATGATAATATCTTGTCTTTTTTACAAGGCGACGGCAAGTTGTCGCTGGGCGTTGGCGGAAGGGATTGAACTGCCGGTCATCAAAGGACTTGCGCAAGCTGGAGTATCGGGATCATTGTCGGCGTAATTGTATTGTAATAACAGTATACTCAGGGTTTCAAGAGTAGACAGGTTGGCATGGTCGGTCAGCCGGAGCAATACAATTCTTTGCTTTGCTGTTTATTTCATGATACATATTCATCTGCTATTACTCCCAAGTGAATGCCTGATGAGAGGCGATCAAGACAGCCTTTCTTGATTTAATTGATTTAAGGGTGATGCCTAACGCATGTAGAGTAGACGCTGTGCTACATTACGCGTGCCTGGTGAATAGCCCTGCCTACTACCTATGCAGTCTGTCTAATCAATGTCTCGGATTTGGAACAGTAGCGCAGCAGCAGCACAGCCCTCCTCACAACAGCGGACCTGCATCGTCGCAATCAAAGCCACTGCAAGTCGACACTGGGGATTTATTTCTATTGACCATCTACGCTGTTTCCAAATGTGCACTGCCAGATTACGCGGCAGATGAGCTGGCTTTTCCCCTTTACCAATCTCGGTTCCCTGCTCTGGAGGACAGCTTACTTTCTGCGTGCGGAGGGTGAGCCATTTATCGACACTTGTTCACTACATTCTTGGCTCCAGCTCTCTCTCGCAGTGGCGTTGTAGTAGCAATGTTCCCTGGGTTGGCCGCATTACTCGTTTAGCC